GCTGAGTCGAGCCAGGTTTTGAGCTGACCACCTCTTCAACGTTTCCAATTGGGTAATGTTGTCGGCTCGGGGCAGTCACACTGAGCTCCTGAGGTTGATGACGAAGAACTTGTGCAAACCACCTCAGTTGTCTTTCTTGGATGGCCTGGGATATCCTTGAAATGCTGTCGCAGCAAGTGCCGACAGGCTCATTTGAGACTAAATCGGTGTACACTACCCGAAGGATGATCCTCAAGCAGTAGTAGTCAAATATCCCGTTCCTTTCATCTTCCATGCGCATAGCTTAGCATTTACAGCCGTAGTGTAGGACAAACCGAAAGGATGCACGGTATACGCAGACCTTCGTGGCAATGGAAATATCGTGTCGGATCCATAAACATTTCCTAAGCCTTGAGAAAACTCAGCGAGCTGCATCGATTCGGGAGAAAATGTCATTTTTACTCTGCCCATTCGGCAGCAACCTCGCTCGGAGGTATTTAAAACTGTACACTTCTTCAAGTTGACAGCCATTACTCTCGAGAGATGTATTCTCTTGGGCAGAGATGCAGCATGAAGATACTGTGGTCTTCCCAGCATTTATGGAAAAATCGACGGATTTAGCGACCTTGTCCATCTGTGACACCATAGGCTGTTGATCACCAAAGCTTGAAGCTAATAAAGGGATATAATCTGCATAGTCGACATCAGTCAACCTGCGTCCGGGTGCAAGGTCAATACAGTCATCTTCATGTAGGGCCTTCCCAAGCATCCAGTCAATGCCGCAGCTGAATAGAATGGGCGGCAGGGCACAGTCTGGTCGAATACCAAAGCGAACAGCGAACGGTTCTGAACGATTTTTATGAAGCAGAACTCGCGCAGTGGTGGAACGGTAGTATGCTTTAATCGTGGCGATGATTTTTGGTGGTACACCATCTGATGCCATAGTCTGCCATAGGGATTTACGATGGGCAGAATCGAACGCAACGGCAAAATCGATAAAGCAGACGACTGTTGGTTGTATGTTTCTCAGTTTGAATATCTGGTCCGTACACCGACGTCCAGCGCAGAATCCGGCTTGATTGGGTCGCGTCCTAGAATAACGCACATAACGGAATTGCTTGAAAAGAACAACAGCGAAGATATTCCCAGTGACGTTGATGAGATTTATGCCGTGGTAGTTCTTACATCTTTTCTTATCTCGCTCCTTGTGGGCAGGTATAAGAATGCCTAAGCCCCAGTCATCAGAAACATCATTGTCTCTCCACGTTTGTCTAATCACCTCATGGAGCCAAGGCGCCAGGGTGTCGCTACAAGAATTGTAGGCTTTGGCGGATATACCGTCCTCTCCATGTGCCTTATTGTTGCACAGCCTTTTTATGGCATCGGCGACTTCTTCAGAAGGCGGTTCTCATGACACTGGACAAGTAAGAGAGGAAAGAGACTCCGCTATATATGGAGGGAGGGGGTGAGGAGTGCCGGGCTCC